CGCATCACCCGCGAATACCGATCCACCTTCATCCTCTCTGATGACCAAACTGTCGGAGTGACCCGACGCGAAACATTTCAACCAGATGAGGCTCATGTCGATGTTCGAGTAAACCTCTGTCTGCAAAGTTCTCCAGAGGACTTACGTGACAGTGGTGACTGCGCAAATCACCTTCGTGCCCAATCCGAACCGCCTTGTCGTCTGCGAATTCGTGAGAGTGTCGACGATAACAGATGGGCCCGTCTCATGCTCACAACCGACGAGCCTCAAAACTCTGAATTGTTCAGACGTTTTGGTAAAAGTTACAGCAACTGTCAGGACGCGGGACGCAACGTACTGAAGCACATTCCATGCCAGACTGCTGAAGACTACCGTCTGCAGCACAACTTTACACTGTCTGAGTCAGACGTATCTACTGCTGGATCTAGCCAACTTGGTTCTAATCTTCATTCTCAACAGCAATTCCCAGGGGAGACTCTCAGACCTAGCCCACGGTCGGCTACTTCTTGCAACACCTCCTACGTCCGCCCTTCTGAATTCTCGACAGACGACAGTCTTAATCCCAACCAGCCTGGGATTGGAGAAACTGGGCTTGGTGTGAATGACACCTATAGACAGTCTGGCTCTTATATTAGCAGATTCCCCGCTTTGATTGGAAGTTGTTCCTCAGTTGAAACCCTTTTATCGGCGGGAAATGCTCCAGATGTTAGTGATTTCATTGAGACAACCTTGCTTTCTCACGGAGCACGAGTCATCGCAGACACAATTGGAAACCAAAGCGCCTCAACTGCCACCAGTGGCACAACTTCGACGGTTCGTCGTTGGACCTCTACCAAAGTGCGGCAGGACGTGGAAGATGAAGCCGAAGACTTTAGTACAGTCAGGCGTCGTCCTAATGCTGTGCAAGACGGAAGCGAACAGAAATCACCGGCCATTGTGCTTGTGACTGACCATCCCCTAACTCCAACAGGCCTAGACATCGTCGGCTCATCTTCGTTCTTTGAAGAACCCTCTACGGAGCGGGTCGAGAAGGACACCTGTCCGCGGATCTCCAGACCGCATCCCGCTGGCCTTTCCGGCGATCAGTCTCATTACAATGAAAAATGTAATGTTGAAAATTGTCCAGTTCAGCTTTGCGCATTGGTAGAAGGAAAAGAAAAATGAGTCTAGTCGTAAGATGGGTAGAAGCTTGATTTTCTTCGTTGCGCCTTAACTGCTGATAGTGTGTAAATTCTGGATTCATGCAAGGAGCTTGGGAAAATTTATGTGCTACAGAAATTGCGCCTCAGCTGTCAATACCTCCCGAAATTTTGCATGCAGGAACATTTAGGTGCCGGTTGTGTCATTAAAGTTTCATGATAATGGGTAGCTTTTAGCACTGGCTCATCTTCAGTCTAGACTGACCTCTGGCATACGCGCATTTTGTTTTAACACTTTCAATGAGTCTGTCAACGAGAGCAC